TAATGAAGCTCTTTTTCTAGAGTACAACAGAGGTATATGTGACTTTTGAGTGGATGTGGTGCTTGGAGGGGACATTGATGTGATGCAAGGAGCTGATGGGAATTTTCTTTAGGGCCCTGAGAAAGAAAGAGGAAGTTGTAATCAAGGAGAAAAGAGGAAGTGGCCATATGAGTAAGCATCCCTGATTTTGCCTTCTTCCACCTTGAACCACCACCATGAGGTTCTATAATTGTTTCTAGGGCAAAACTCTTTCAAGTCATCCTTCAGTTTCAAGGAAGAAATCAAAACAATGAAGTTTTGCCACCTGTCTTCCTCTATGGCTGGTAGTAAACCCTTCATAAGAAATACTGTTAGTCATTTCCTTAATGCATTTTAGATACCATAACCAAAATTACAGATCATTTCATTTTCAGAAAACAAAAGTAGCACTTAAAGTCAGTGATAAAGCCCTTCAGTGCAAGCATCCCTGGAAAGGTGAGATCAACATTGTAGAATACAAACTACTACTGATTTATCTGACTTCAGGAAAGAGAAAAATTTATAATGATATTCCTATAGAGTAATGAATCTCCTGGTTTAATATGTTTGGTATGAGTTTGTGTTCTCTAAAGTCAAAGAATAAATTTTAGGAACAACAGAAATTAAGAGCACAATATACTTATTGAGAGAAAGAAAGCTACCTGAGAGAGAGAAGGGGTCCTGAGCATGATGCCAAACATTGTCCTTCTGGGGACCTTTATAGAGTAAAATCATGTGGTGAGATGAGTTTAAGGTGGGGAAAAATCGGAACTTATAATCCAGATGGGCATAAGATGGGACAGAGCTATGGTAGCCAATAAGATTATAAGTTCATGTAAAGTTGCTTAAATTGGGAAAAAGAGGGAAAGGGAGTCACATAGAAAGCAGGCATTCTTAGGAAGCAGTGACTTTTCCCTTAGGGCTTTGGGAGGGTGACTCCTGACTTCATCAGGATGATAGGAAATATTTAAAATGTCAGTCCTTAGGATAAGCATACTTTTCTTTGAATGGTGACTCCTGACCTCCTCAGAGTGCTATGGGACTATTTAGAATATCAGTCTTTAGGATATGGATGAATTTGCTTATCATTTGTCTTGAGACTTGGCCCATAGCATGAGGTGTCAGTCTTCCCCATAGTTGCACAGTGTCTCGTCTCCTGCATGGACTCCTTGGAGGACCTAGCCCTGCCTTATGCCAATACTATTTAAATAACTCAGGTGCCTGTAACAGTACTGTTTGGATAATTGATTAGAGATATCTTGTGCTGTGGGTGAATGATCTGGGGATTACAGTGTGCAGTGTATATACCAGTGTTGCCCCCTGATTGACATGTTTTTAAATTTAATTTTAGTTGTTGTGTTCTTTTTTCACTGAAATAGAATGGATTTGAAAATTAAAAGCCTGAGGTAATGCTCTTCAGTACAAACACTCCTCTGGTCAAGCTGAGATCACCACTGTAGAAGAACGGCAGCTCCTGAAGTCTCTGCACTACAGTCTATAATTTGAGATCCTCTCTTGCAGGGAGGGGTTTCTTTCCCTGTTGATTCTTGACTCAGAAGGAGAGCAGTAGAGCAGGAGTCAATCAGTGATGAAGACACAGGCTATATGAACTGTCCAATTTTCAGGCCATTGCTGGCTGTGACTTTTGTCTCTTCTGGTATCTCAGCATGATTTACCTTTTCTGAGTACGATACTGGTAGCAAAACACTTGCTGCATCTCATTTAGTACTTTCGATGTCCTGTGGCCTGATTAGCAAAGAACCTGAGAGATCCTGGAGCCATGGAATGATGAGGTTGTGGATGGGAGCCCAGAGTTAGGGTGGATTCGGTGAAACCAGTTACAAGTATGTAGAAGTAATTCCTGTTTCTGGAACCTCAGGTATTTAGTTAGCTTCAGCTCCTGAGGTCCTCCAGCATTGGCCATGGGTCATTCACTCTCCCTTTTGCCTCTTGCTGTTGGCAAGGGTGATTTGGGGTCCCCAGAACCCTGGCTTCACTATTACAGCAGCAGACTCAAGTATCATCTTTGGAATTCACTGCTGGCCTAGAAACTCCACAATCTTAGGCATTGGAAGGAGCTTGAGAAGACCCTGACTATGATGCTTTTGGTAGCTTGTAGAGCAGTAATGAGCTAGGTCTCTGCTCTCTATCCTCAGAATAGAAGATCTGGAATGTCCAAAGTTTATTAATGTCTGCAATTCAGGGTCTCATTACCACAATGGTTCAACTTAAACATGGGCTTTTTTGTATTTATAGTGATCTCCTCAATTTATAGTATGTTCTCATATTTCCATCCTCATGACAGGTAGTCGCAAAGGTCCTGAGAATTCAGAGATGTGTAGTAGTGTGCCTCAGTGGAAAAAGGCTTCCCAAACAACTCATGAACTCCTGTGTATTATACAGATCAGTGCAAAATAATTTCTGAACATACTTAATTATTTAGGTGGCACCCTTGCTCACAGACTAGGTTTGTGAGCACAGCCATAGAGTTTTGAAGTCTGAGAAAAATGAAGCAAATATGAAAGTGTTATCAAGGAAAGGGTAAAAATTTGTGGAGGACAAATTCCATAAAGGGCTACCTGTTAAATTCTCATCGAAAAATGCTGAAATTCAGGCATTTGCATGCACATATACACGTGATATCCTTCTGAATGGAAAGGAATAGGTGTGTCATCTCTGAATTAAGAGCTGATTTAGTGTCTTGGTTGTTCATAGACAGTTTAAATATGGAAATGCTCTGCAATGGAATTTATAAAGTGGTGTAAAGGAGAAGCTCTAAACAGAAATTTTGCAGTGATATCAATAGTTAGGCATGAAGGGTTTCCTGCTGAGGATGGATCAGAGGAGTGTGGAAAGAATGTGCAAGTGACTGACAGAATTCAGGAAGCCAATAGCAGGACATACAACAGAGAGGGTCTTCACTGAAATTCAGGTAGTTCTTAGAGTAAGTGTAAAGTTAAAGTTGGTTTCTGATTGCTTCCTGGAGGTGATCAACACCAGCTCTGGCAACAATCAGTATTTCACATCCTTGTCAACTCATGAATTTTGTGTTCCATACTTGAGATCTAATTTGAATTATGTCTAATTATGCCCCCAGTGTCATGAAGGTAAAATGTGCATTTTTTTTGTACCAAGGATCAAACTCATGACCTATGCTTTCCAGGCAGGTGTTCATGCCACGGAGCTAAATACCCAAGTTTCTCTTTGTTGTGTGGAAGATATCTACATTGTTTCTCATAAAGTGTTGAATATTGTTGGAATTTTCCCATATTGTATGGCTATAATTTTTAAAAACAAACTAAAGGTGTCTTATGCGGTCTCTTTTCAAGTTTCACTTTGTCTGTGGGGTGTCTCAGTCAGGGTTTATCTACTTTAGACAGCTCTGTAACTTAGGATAGTCCCAAATTCAAGGAAGAAGTCCTTCACCAGCCTCACAAGATATATTTCTTATACCTGAATTGCAAGTGTTGCTTGGTGACAGTGAGCTATAAATTACAGCTTCGGCCTGGTTCCATTTTATATACTTATTTTTTAAAAACAGCATTTCCACTAACATTTGAGTTATTATTTGTATACCATATTGGAGGTTATTTATGTTTTGTTCTATGAAGCCAAATTCATGTTTCAAAATGCTGCTGAAGTACATTAAGAACAAAGTACTCACTGGCCTAAATGAGATTTGAAGAGACATTATCTGCAGCCTATCAAAGTGATTGATGAGATTTTTTTTCCTTTTTTCAAATTTTGAAAGTGGTAAAATAAAACAGAACAAGGCAGAATAAGGCCAACTAAGATCATACAGTGAAATTGGTACACAACTTCACAACAGGTTACTGCGATAACAGTAATACGTATCACAGTATATTTTATTATCTTTATAATAGTTGTTCTTTCAAACACATATATCAAAATGAGATGAAATACAGAACATTATAGTACTTATCAAAACAGAATTTTTAATAGAGCAATACCATTAATCAGAATAGAGTAAAACAGTAATAAAAATATTTGCCTTCAAAGAGATAGTAGAAGGAAGTTCCCCTTATTTTTTATGGTCTGCTTCCCAGGAGACACTCAGATTTCTGTTCCCCATTTGCTAACAGGGGGTGACAGGAGAAGAGGGGTAGGGAAGTGGGATGTTTGATTCTAGGCCCTGCGTCAGTAGGTTTACTATTGCTTAGTAGGGAGACAGCTGGTTGTTTGGTTTCACAGCATCCTAAGTTCCCACATGGTGTGGATCTCAGGAGCTGCTGCTGGTTCTCCCCTGGAAGGGCCACATTCTGCCAGACCGCCACTGCTTACCAGGGAGAAGTGTTGCTTGCTTGCCTTCCAAGTGTCTAAATTACAGCATGGCATGGATCTCAGGAGCTGCAGCTGGTTTGCCCCCTGGATGGGCCACAGTCTGCCACACTGCCACCACTTACCAGGGAATGGAGGTGCTTGCTTGGCTTCCCAGTTGATTGATGGGATATTTATCTGTCTCTGTGCTTTGTGGATGCTGGTCCTGCAGGCTTCTCACTGTGAGCTCTGCATTAGAGACAGTACACAGGGAATCTTGCAGTGACTCAGCACAAGAATCAGTGCTCCTATTTCACTGTTACAATAGCAGTGCATTGCAATCTATCATCAAATTTGCTGTCTTCAAAAATGTGTATATACACAAAATTTATGACCAAGACATAGATTTAAATTTGAAGACATCAGTCTTCATTCAGCTGTTTTGTTTGGTTGCATTTGTTTATTTTTGTTTTGTTTTATTGAGACAAGCTTTTATATGTATATCAGCTGGATTTGAATACCCTATGGAGCCTAGAATTGCCCTGAACTCACTGAAACCATCCTGCCTAAGCCTTTTGAGTGCTGGCATTATAGATATATACCACCACACTTTGCTTTTGATTGAGATTTGTAGGAGAGAATTTAAGATATGCCAAACTTGGTGTCTCAACCTTCATGTGAGAAATATATGTGTGGTCCTTTAGGAGGTGGTGACCTTTGAGGATGTGGTTGTGAACTTCAGCAATGAGGAGTGGACTTTGCTAAGTCCATCCCAAAAGAACCTCTACAGAGATGTGATGGGCGAAACCTTTAGGAACATGACTGCAATAGGTAAGGACAAAATACTTTTGTCACTCATGCTGTCAGAATGTTGTATGTCGCTCATCAGTGCTGTTTCATTAAACACAATGTGAAAATATTTTTAAAAATAACTCAGACCTGGACACATTATCGTAACTCTAAACAAAATCTATTAATTTGTATGTATTTTTCTAATGAGCACTGGTATTTCTATGTCTACAATTCAGGAGGACTTGGGAATATCCAGGAACCTGAAAAAGAATGCAAAATTTACTGGAGATCCTTAAGGTAATTCGCACTCATAAGGAGAAGGAATGTTCCTGAGTAATTAGTGAGTTAGCAGAAAAATACCGCCAAAGAAATGAGGCACCATTCAATTTATTGTCAGTAATATTCTCCGAAGATGTATAAGGAGTTATAACATTCTCCCTTCAGTTTTTCTACCCATATATACATGTGAATACAACACATTCATCATCTAAACATTACTAAGATTGCAATAGAATTTGAAATAAAATGGAGTTCTTGTGTTTCCAAGCCATGCTCATAAAATCAGCCATTCTGACTAAAATTCTTAGAAGGCTGGTAGAATGTTAAGTGCACTCATTCTGAATATCAGTGTGCAGTTGTCTCTAGAAATTGATCCCCTCATACTTGTCCTGGATATATTTTTAAAAATTCAAGGTGCACATAAAATACTGGTACATGCTTACTCATTTACAAAGCAGATCAAGGTATAATAGATCAGGACTTGAAGAAGCTTAGCTATCTATCACTGGATTTGTGGAGAAGGAAAATATTAATAGACTCTCTGGAGGGTGCATTCTTGTAAACCTAGCACACTAGGAATCAGCTTTTGCAGAATGGCAAATTCAAGTTCAAACTTCACAGCTTAATGATCAGTGAAAATCACTTAAAACACATTTTAAAAGCTATAGATTTTATGCTAATAGCTGTTGTTCATTCCCAGCATGGAAAAGAAAAAAATGTCTTATATAATGTCAAAAAATAAATAATATATTGTCATTTGTCATAAGAAATAGGTGGTTCTTTCTCCCATCAATTCGGTGAAATAGCTCAGCTATAAAACCTAAAAGTTCACAGGGTACATTTTAGATGAGAAACCAAAATATAAATTGTGGAATGAAATGAAAGAGTTAATAGAGAAAAGTAAGACTGACCATATGGAAAAGGGAACTGCAGGCTAAGGACAGAAGGGAGATTGTGATGGGGAAACATATCAGAATGATCTGTATGTGATACATATATGTACCCATGCCCAAAGTGAAGGTAAAGATTCTGCATTTCAAAAGGTACCACATTTTAAGATTTCCAAATGTGTACCAGTCTTTTGGGAATGGTTGTTTTCAACATGTCTTACAAGGCCATTTTGTTACTTCACGGTCAGAATTTCTTAGAAGGCATTAAAAACAGAACTTGACATTAATGCAGTCATAAAACTGAGACCCATTTCACTGTGTGTTTCTTTTTTTTATTTAATGTGAGAAAAGACTAAAAAAACCAAAATAAGTAGAAATGATACCATTTTCAAAGTGAAAATAAACAGTAAGAAATCTAGACAATGATTACATATGCTACTCATAGAAATAGTTAATGAAATACAAAAGTGAAACTTATGAAGTGGGGATAAACAGCGAGACTGCAAACAGTTTTGTTCAACTCTGCCATAAAAACTTAGTAATATGGTTATCAAGCCGATATGTGATTTTTTTTTACAGAAATGACAAGCTAGGGAAATCCTATGGACATACATCTTGGAATCAGTGTAAAGAATTATTCCCTTGTACTGCAGAAGGTAATGTGAATGTGAAAGAAGCAGAAACACACCACAATATTCAGATCCATGAAAAATATTGCAGTGGAGAGAAATCCTATGTATGTCAGCAATGTGGAAAACAGTTCACCAAATCTGGACATTGTAAGCAACATGACATAATTCACACTGGAGAGAGACCATATGTATGTAAGCAATGTGGGAAAGCTTTTAACACAAGGGGATATTTTAAGAAACATGAAAGAATTCACACTGGAGAGAAACCCTATGTATGTAAGCAATGTGGCAAAGCTTTGAACACACAGGCAAGTTGTAAAATAGACGAAAGAATTCACACTGGGGAGAAACCCTATGTATGTAAGCAATGTGGGAAAGCTTTTACCCGACATGGACATTGTAAGCGACATGAAAGAATTCACATTGGAGAGAAACCCTATGTATGTAAGCAATGTGGGAAAGCTTTTACCCGACATGGACATTGTAAGCGACATGAAAGAATTCACACTGGAGAGAAACCTTATGTATGTAAGCAATGTGGGAAAGCTTTTAACAGACGGGGAGGTTGTAAGAATCATGAAAGAATTCACACTGGAGAGAAACCCTATGTATGTAAGCAGTGTGGAAAAGGTTTTACCAATTCTGGACATTGTATGCAACATGAAAGAATTCACACTGGAGAGAGACCATATGTATGTAAGCAATGTGGGAAAGCTTTTAACACACATGGACAGTGTAAGGAACATGAAAGAATTCACACTGGTGAGAAACCATATGTGTGTAAGCAATGTGGGAAAGCTTTTTCCCGACATGGACATTGTAAGCAACATGAAAGAATTCACACTGGAGAGAAACCTTATGTATGTAAGCAATGTGGGAAAGCTTTTAACAGACGGGGAGGTTGTAAGAATCATGAAAGAATTCACACTGGAGAGAAACCCTATGTATGTAAGCAATGTGGGAAAGATTTTAACACACATGGACAGTGTAAGGCACATGAAAGAATTCACACTGGCGAGAAACCATATGTATGTAAGCAATGTGGGAAAGCTTTTACCCAACATGGACATTGTAAGCGACATGAAAGAATTCACACTGGAGAGAAACCTTATGTATGTAAGCAATGTGGAAAAGATTTTAACACACATGGACAGTGTAAGGAACATGAAAGAATTCACACTGGTGAGAAACCATATGTATGTAAGGAATGTGGGAAAGCTTTTACCCGACATGGACATTGTAAGCAACGTGAAAGTTCATATTCAAGATAAAACCAGTGTATATAAGCATCATGAGAATTTTTTGACTACAATTACATATTGCATAATGCATGAAAAACTTCACACTGGGCAGGAAACTTATATATCTAAGGAATGTGGGAAAGGTTTCAGCAGAAATGCTCATTGTCCAATACATGAAAAAAATTTACACTGTTGAGAAACCCTGTTTATGTGAAGAATGTGGGAAAGCTTTCACCACACATGGATTTTGTAAAATACATCAATGACTCCAAACTGGTCGAGAAACCCTATGCATATAACAATGTGGCAAAGCTTTTACCACATACAGTCATTGCAAAACACATGAAACAATTCACACTAGGATTAATCACTGGCTACGTAAGCAAGTGGAGACACTTTCAGCATCCAAATTGTAAGTGAAATACATGAAGAAACTCACACAAGAGATAAATCCTATGTGTTATGGGAATACTCTCATCACACATGATCATTGTTACATATCTGAAAGAGCTCACTGGATCCTATGTGTATTAACAGTGTGGAACATATGGCAATCCATGTTTGTTGTTAAATACATAGAAAAAGCAGCACTCTTCAGATAGTTTAGATATAAGTTTATTTTAAAAATTCCAAGTAGACCTGAAGAAATAATCAATACAGAAGTTTGATGTCAATATTTCTTCAAGAATTTTCCAGAAATGACAAATCTGAAGTGGAGCTCTACTCAAGTACACATTTTGTATGGGTTTCAGTTAATCACTTATACCTCTTTAGATTTTTTAACGTGTCTTTGTGCTTCAACATGGCATCTTGTAATTAAACATGGTGAACTGAAATGGGCTTTTTACTTTCAAGTATGGATAGTGTCTATGTACTTAACATTTTGTCTTTAAAACTTAATTTTCATATTTTTGTGAATTTTTATTTAAAGAAAAAAACCAAAAAGTGTAGAAATAATACAGAATTTCTGAAAAATAAACAATAAGAAATCACTAGTTGATTAATTACATATTGTTATTTTAGAGGTAATTGTTCAAGTTACAAAATTAAAGCATACAAAGTGATATTCAAATAATGACACTGCGAACAATTTACCTCAGTGATCCAAAAAAACTTATTAATATGCTTATCTGTTCTACAAACTTGTTTTTTATCTTAAAGATGGTAAAGTTAAACATGACAAAACAGAACAGTTCATAAGGAAACAAGTTAAGGAAACAGGTTTCAAAGCAAGTCCACTGAGATGTTCATTTTCTATCTTAATGTCTCTAGTTTTCTTCCAAATAGCTGTTCCCATCTTGAGAAGCATTGAATATATACTGAACATTATAGAACTAATCAAATAATTATAGGATGATGCAGGCTTTTTTGAACTTCAAGACTGATGTTGGGGAAGTTGATAATGATTACCATAATGTGTCTCATTCTCTTCATAGTAGATGTCTTTATTTTTATGTATGCTGAAACTGAACATAAGAGACTAAACTAATATCACTCTGAACAGTGAATAATAGTATCCTGAGAAGGAGAAAGGTGAGGAATTGCCTAAAAAAAGAAGGCAGAGGACATTGTTAAAGTGTATCAGGATTTAAAAGCTACAGTAGTTCTGTTGCTCTGTTTAGTTTGATTATATTTTGTTCTGGTCTGTCTACTCACATTGGATTTGAGGGCACAGAGAGGTAACCCAAAAATAGCAGGTTATACCATGATGGTAACTGTCCTTAATTTCCTATTAACTAAAACTGAAACCCTATATTACTTACATTGTCTTACTATGACTGATCTTATTGGAAGCAGGTTTGTTTGAATATTATTTGGCCTTGACTGATTTTATTCACATTTGGTATGCTTGCTGGTATCAAGTCCAAGAGCATAGGCCACTACTCTGAAGATGATAATATGTGAAAGATATATATTGGGGGGCTGGGGATTTAGCTCAGTGGCTTAAGCCCCTGCCTGGCAAGTGTTAGGTAATCAGTTTGATCCCCAGTACCAAAAAATAAATAAAAGATATAAATTCCAGGTTTAATTTTTTTTACTTAAAGAGAAAAAAAAGAACATAAAAAACAAAGCAGTAATAGAGTACAAATCATACAGAATTTCAAGAAAAAAATACAGTAAGAAATCACTAGTTAATAGGTTACATATTGTCTTCTTAGAAACAGTTGTCCAAATTATAAAATTAAAGCATATAAAGTGAACATTCCTACAGCGAGATTCCAGACAGTTGCATTCAATGAACCAACAAAGCTCAGTAATATGGTTTTCCTTCCTACACACTCAAACAGGCAATTATATCTCTTAGACTACCTTCCTTTCCTCTCTTCTTCACAATTACATTTACACTTTTGGGTTTTTTTTTTTACTCCCATAGTACTTATTACTTTTTTTTGAAGAGAATAAAACCTCAAGTTAGTTAAAAAAAAAAAAACAGAGTTGGTTAGAACATAAGGATGGCCATAGTACTTGATGCAAAAATAGAATATCAGGTGATCAAAAATGGTTACCATTGTGCCTCTTGCTATTTTTTTAAAAAGTTGCTATATCATCAGGTATAATAGAATTGATCAAAACAGTACAGAACAAGACCAATAAAATCTACACTGGAAACCTTACATGATTTCAAAAGAAGATAATAGTCAAACCATAATGGGCATCATAGTAAATCTTATTGCCTACAAAGTGGTTGCCTATACCCTCAAACTTGATACTATCAAACAAAATAGAATATAGTAATCTCAGGCAGAAAAAGATGGGGAGAGCAATACTGGGGTTAAAATCAGGTTAACAGGAAAACAAAAAAGGTACTATAATATATCCCGCTACTTTTTAATTTAGTTTTATTTTAATTGAAAAAAAAATAAGAAAACAGAATAATTTTTTAAAATGGTGGAGATAGAGATAAAAGAGACATTGTCATAGAACAACACAGGTCAGAACTGCACAATTAAAGCATTTTGTTTCACCACCAGATAATCTAACATAATAGTAGTCACCATAGTGCCTCTTTCCTTGAATTGTTTGAGTGTAATGTCATATACTATAGAATCAATCATATCAAGACAGTGTGAAGCCATTCAAGAGAATGAAAGAATTACAGGGTATTTAGAGCCAGTTAACAGAAAATGGACAACGATTTCTATATTATCTCTTTGCCTGTGAAAAATTTTATTTATACTATCACATACAGTAAAATATATTAAGATACAACATGTTAAAACCAGTGGTAACATGTACAACAGCTTGATGGGAGTTCCAAAGAAGATGATATTAAATCAGCACTAGCTTTTATGATGTGTTATTTTCTTCAGAATAGCTATTCATACTATCACTGATACTAAAATCAAAAAACCCAGGGTAAAACCATTGCACTTAATACCATGTTGATTGTACTACAGTTGTTTTGTAGTATAACTTCAAGTCAGAGATTGTGGTACCTCCTGCCTTGCTTTTGCTGCCTCTAACTGTCCTTGCTATTCTAGGTTTCTTCTCATCCCAGATGAATTTTAGGGATGATTTCTCAAGTTCTATGAGGTATGTTGATGGTATTTTTATCGGGATTGCATTGCATCTATATAAAAGTTTTTGTAGAATGGCCATTTTCACAATATTTATTCTTCCTATCCATGAGCAAGGGATGTCTTTCCATTTTCTGAGATCATCTTCAATTTCATTTTTCAGTGTGTTATAATTTTCCCTGTATAGGTCTTTCACTTCTTTCGTGAGAGTAATTCCTAAATATTTCATTTCTTTGGTTGCTAATGTGAAGGGTGTGGCCTCTCTTATTTCTGTCTCTGTGACTTTGTTGTTAGTGTATAGGAATGCTATTGATTTTTGAGTATTGATTCTATCCAGCTACATTACTGAATTTATTATATCTAGGAGTCTTTCAATAGAGCTTCGGGGATCTTCTATATAAAGTATCATGTCATCTGCAAATAATGATAATTTAACTTCTTCTTTTCTTATATTTAAGCCTTTTATTTCTCTCTTGTCTAATTGCTCTGCCCAGTATTTCCAGTAGTATATTAAATAGGAGCTGTGATAAGGGACATACTTGTCTTGTGCCTGATTTTAAAGTAAAGGCCTTCAATTTTTGACCATTTAGTATGGTACTGGCTGTTGTTTTGTCATTGCCAGCCTTAATTATATTGAGGTAAGGACCATCTATTCCAATTTTCTGCAAGGCTCTTATCATAAATGAATGTTGGACCTTATCAAAAGCCTTTTCTGTATCTATAGGAATGATCGTGTGATTATAACTTTTGGCTCTATTGATATGGTGTATTACATTTATTGATTTACATATATTAAACAATCTCTGCATGCCTGGGATGAATCCCCCTTCATCATGATATATGATCTTGTTGATTTGCTGCATCCTATTTGCCAAAATTTTAATGAGGATTTTTGCATCCTCCTTCATTATGCAGATTGGTCTGTAGTTCTCTTTCTCAGTTGAGTCCTCCTCTGGTTTTTGTACTAGAGTAATATTTGCTTCTAGGAACAATTTATGAAGGATTGCTTCCCTTTCCATTTCACTGAAGAGTTTGCAGAGTGTTGGCATTAGGTCTTCTTTAGAATATTTCTTGTAGAATTCTTCAGTGAATCCGTCTGGGCCTGGGCTCTTCTTTGTAGGTAATGATTTTATTATGTTTTCAATTTCATTAATAGAATTTGGGTTATTCAGTAGTTTTACATCTTCATGACCTAGCTGTGGTACTTCATATGCTTTAGGAATCCGTCTATTTCCTCTGTGTTATAAAACTTTGAGAGTAGAAGTTTTCGAAATAGGTGTTGATGATCTTCTGTATTTCAATAGGGTCTGTAGTAATTTCACCTCTTTTATTCCTTATAACTTGCATTTGAACTTTTTCTTCCATTTTTTAAATGAGGTAGGCTAGGGGCTTTTCAATTTTATTTATTCTTTCAAAGAAACAGGTCTTTGATTCATTGATTTTTTGGATTGTTTTTTTAGTCTCTATTGCATTGATTTCTGCTCTGATTTTTATAATTTCTTCTTTTCTTTTGGCTTTGGGCTTGACTTGCTCTTCTCTTTCTAGATGTTTGAGGTATAACATCAGGTTATTTATTTGTATTCATTCTGTTTTCCTAATGTGGGAACTCATGCAATAAATTTTCCTCAGAGGACAGATTTCATTGCATCACACAGATTGTGGTACGTTGTATTTGTGTTTCCATTTGTTTGTAGGTATTGTTTAATTTCTTCTTTAATTTCCTCTGTGACTCACTGATTCCTCAAGAGTGTTATTCTGTTTCCATGTGTTTGTGGGATTTTTGCAGTATCTTTTATCATTAATTTCTAATTTCATAGTGCTATCGTCTGGTAGCATGCAAGGGATACTTTCAACCCTTTAGCATTTATTTAAATATGCTCTCTGAATTAACACATGGTCTATTTTAGAGAATGACCCATGTAATACTGAGAAGAATGTGTATTCTGTTGTTGTTGGGTAGAATACTCTGTATATGTCTATTAAGTCCATTTATTCACAGGTGCGATTCAGTTCTTTCATTTCTTTGTTCATTTTCTGTCTTGTTGATCTGTCCATTGGTGTCAGTGGTGTGTTAAGATCTCCTGTTAGAATTGTGTTACTTCTAATTTGATTTTTCATTTTTGTTAGTACTTGTTTTGTATAATTGGGTGCTCTGGAGTTTGGTGCATGTAAATTTAAGATAGTTTTCTCTTCCTCTTGGAGTTTTCCCCTAAGCAGTATGTAGTGGCCTTCTTCATCCCTTCTGATCATTATTGGCTTGACTTGCTGGTCTTGGCAGGAAACCACGGGTTCTACATCAGGTTTGATTATTAATTGCTTTCACATCCTACAACATCTTCAAAGTTGCATTTTTATAAAAATAGCTTTATAATGTTATGCTTACTTGTATAGTCCCTGATGATGTAGACAATTCTATTGAAAATAACAAGAGAAAGCATAGCAAGTAGTGTATATCACCTAATATTGTGGTCTTATATGTCTCTTTCATATCATGATTTTCTAGGAATTTGTTTTGTTGTCTTATTTTGATCCGTTTTCCCCCATAACACAGAAAGGATAGATATACACATAGAGATTCACACATCGGAAGAATTTCTAACCTATTTATTTAAACAAATAATATAATGCATAATGTAATGAACAGATACTCTGAAGAAGTGACACTAAGAAACCCAATACTAATTCTGTAGCATTATGATATAAAATTGAGCAATACTATTATTCATTGTTCAGAGTGATATTAGTCTAGTCCCTAATTTTTTTGGGAATTGTAATTTTAACATGGCGTTGTTTTAATCTTTTGATGCACATGCTTCATTTTCTCTTTCATAAATAATGTTCCTGAAATTGAGGCAATATTTGGCATTAAGATATGCATTTGTAGAGGCTTGGAGTATGTGGTTTTGACAAAGTTGTGTTCTTTTCACATAACTTGTACATTAATGAATGTTATGTTTTCCAAGTTGTGACAAGACATCTGCTGATTTCCTAACATCACTGGATATCATACCATGTAAATTATGTTGCCTGATTTTGTTTCTCAGTGGAGCCAATATTTGTCATTTAAGTAAACCTTTGTTTTTCTAACCATCAGAATTTTACTTGTTATGTTCATATTACATCTTTATTTGCTAGTAAAGTTTCCCCACATGTACCAAATGTAAACCATACTACTGTGAATTTCTGATTGTGCCATACTGAGAGAATCATAACTTGTCTCCAATAGCACATCACAATATATATATCAATATCTCCAGAAATTATAAAATTTGGCGTGATTTATGAGTAACCATACTTTGAAATCAATTGTTCTTAAATATGGGTTGTTTTGGGGGAAAATGTTGTTATTGGATGTATCATGCAAATGCCTTTATTTTATTCCTTGATGCTGTGAATGCATTATATATTTTGCAATTATTACTGTTTTTTCCTAAAATACGGAAGTAATGGCATGAAGGGAAACCTAAATTTTGAGCTGTCAACACAGGAAAAAGTAAATTTGCTAAATTAAGATTCAGATTGTGTTCTGTTTTACTGAATTGTGAATTTATACAATGGCATATCACTTTATTTATAAGGACCAGTGCATGATGTTTGTGGTGTGTACTGATTAAACACATACAGTGGGCCATGAGTCCCAGTTGGTTTCCTGTGGCCTGTGGTT